AAAAAGCTATTCGCTTGTTCCACTTCTTCTCCCATGGTATATGCAGCGCCCGTTTGAAAGCTTCCACTCCATTTGATCTATTGAGTGAGATAAAGTTTAATACATGCAGGCTTTTACTGAATACAAATATAAAATAGGCAATATGAACACATTGGTCTAAAATACCTCACATTTCACACCATGTACTTTTGCATGCATAACTGAGAGGAATGGCTTCATGTTCAGAAGATGTCTCAGTTCCGGGCAGGCCTGGCAAACTTTTATCAAGTATGGCCAGTATTTGCACATGATGTCAGCACAAAAGAAAGTTGCATTTTCTGTGCAGAGCTCTTTCTGCAAGTATAAAGGACAAGCATAGATCTCTCCTCTGAACATATTGAGTGCCCTCAAAAGAACACCATGCCTACAGACAGCGACTTCAATTCCCTCCTCATCCAGCTTACTGCTGGTCTTGCTGGAAAACTCTTTCGCAGCAGCTAACTCTGCAGATCCACAGACACCTTTGCCTCCCACCTACATGGCATTTGGGATTGAGAGAAAAAAAGCAGACAGGCATGAATCATGATCTGTGTACACATGACTTTGTATGTGAAACCACTGGATAACATTTTTAAAAATCATGAATCATTAGGTGTACTTGCAAGCAATCTGATTGGCAAGTATAGTAAACTTACGTGTTGCACTTTTTTGCGGATATACTGAACAAAAGAGGAAACATCATCATCTTTGCAAAGAAACAACCCTTCGAAGTAGCCAGAGCCCTCTGAACTAATAAAACAAAATTACATGTATTTTTTTTTAGATCAGGTTTCTAAACAACAATGAACACAAACTTAAGAATTGCAGGGTAATTGAAAGAGTTGTTGTGACAATAATATAAAAAACACAAAATAATAATAATAATAATAATTTACGTTGATCCAAACCCATAACACTCTTGTTAATCTTGTTCACAAAGGAATATATTTATAATGAAACCTGACAGATTTCTGTCCCTTCATTAAAAGTACACAGAAAGGTTTAGTGTAATTCGAATACCTGGATGATGTACTTATTCAATGGGAAAAACAAACAAACATGTGGGTCAACATTCAATAGTTTTCACTATATAGTGGCCACACATCACAACAAGACTTGCTTCAAATGGAATAATTAAAAAAAAATTATAATTCAACAGTTTTTGTCAATTCAATTACATTCCAACACAATCTCATGGCAATTTGTAAGGTTTTGGCAAATTGGTGACTAATTTCTGTCATTTGTACATCTCATTAATGTGTTTTTGTACAATCTGATTACGCCCCACTGACAGCTGTTTAGGGAACGTTTTATACTATTATGACAGTCAACCAACAACAACAACTATTAAACACTTACTTCCCAGCCTT